AGTCACGGTGTCAAGTTGCGTGTCAACAAGTCACGTGCCAACAAGTCACGGTGTCAACAAGTCACGTGTCAACAAGTCACGTGTCAACAAGTCACAGTGTCAACAAGTCACAGTGTCAACAAGTCACATGTCAACAAGTCACGTGTCAACAAGTCACGGTGTCAACAAGTCACGGTGTCAACAAGTCACATGTCAACAAGTCATGGTGTCAAGTCACGTGTCAACAAGTCATGGTGTCAAGTCACGTGTCAACAAGTCACGTGTCAACACATTTTTCTGTCATACTTTTCCTACGGTTCAATTAATTTTAGTCTGCCCTTCAGAGGCAGGACGTATTATGGTATAGTTTGAGTCCATAAACTTTCTCTGGTCCTGCCCATACATTCTGGTCCACTCAAGATAATTTAACAAGACACATCTGTACACATCTGCATCATCACTAGATGGACTGTTGCTCAGAGTCTACGGTCGCCGAGGTGGATTTCACCTGAACGTCTGTGCTCGTTAAAGAAAGATGCGACCGATTCGTTGAGCATTTATCCAGAGGATAAGTCAGTCAGTCATAGATTGTCTACCAGAGGAGCTACAACTGTCTTGAGTTTTCAAGGTTACACTATTTTAAAACAAATGTTTGCAGCAAGCTATAAGAGTTATCATGATAGCTGGTGCAATATTTAATTCAATTCAGTTTATTTATAAAACACCAAGTCACAACAGACGTCGTCTCAGGGACTGAACAAACTATTTACAGCATACTGCTGGCTTGAGCTAATTAATAACCTGCTAATTAATTTTTAACGTTTCTTTACACAAACAGAAAGCAGCTAAGACTTTACAGGTATCATTACTTTAGAGTTATAAATAAATATAAATAGAAGAACTTGAGACTACAGTTAAATAAGTTTAACTTTATTCTCAAATGTTATGAAATTGAAAGTTCAGCCTCGATCCTGAATATCAAAAATAATAATGTTGTAAACAAAACCGCTGATCACAAATTGGTTTAAAATCTGCCCTGACTTGTTTACATATACGATTTAAAGTTAAAATGATTATTAAAGAAAAATTATATATATATAATTCTTTTGTTATTCTTCTAAATATTAATAGACAATTTTCAATATTATTTAGGCAGAAAAAGCAGTGCTGGTTACATTTGTGTTTTTTAATAAAAGCGACTCTTATGATGTATTAAATTTGTCGTACTTTCAGTGCCGTCGGCCTCGGCCTGCTCTTCTCGTTGTTTCTTCTTGAACTTCATGTTGCCGAAGTGCATGATGGCTCCAACCAGTTTATAGCAGCCATACTTCTCCTCAGGAGTGAAGCCCAGTGTGTCCATGGCGCGCTGCACACAGAGTGGGAGGAGTTTGTGTCTTAAAGTGCCAAGGGGAGGAGTTTATTCAAGTACAGAGGGAGGAGTTTGTTAGAGTGCAGATGGGAGGAGTTTGATGATCCTTAAACTTTATGACAATCACTTCCTGTGGGTAAAAATAAGTCTAAAAATAAGCCATACCTGCTGAAAAATACTATTATTCTTGTCTGACATAAACTAGATAATAATAATAATAATAATAATAATAAAAATAATAATAATGTCATCACAATGTCAGCACTGTATGTTTCCATACAATGGCGAAATTAGTCTCTGCATTTAATCCATCCACCACCAGGTGGTGCAGTGGGCAGCTACTGAAGGCGCCCGGGCCATTTTGGGGATGAGGTGTGCTGCCCAGAGACACCACCAGGTGTGCAGTGACCGGGGATCGAACCTGGGACTTTTGGGTCCTGGGCCGGCTGCACCGCCTTTACACCATCTAGTTGAAATGTGTCTCGATCTTTAAATATGAAAAATAATAAAACATTTAAATGACAAAAAAAAAAAAAATAATTTAGCATTTTAACAGCGTACAGTTTTACAGAACTCTGCAATTCAGTTTTAAAACATTAACTTTTTTATTGCATTTTGGGGCATATGGACTTTTTGACTTAAAAAACCTGATGTTTTAAGAAGTCCCTCTAAGGCTCAAGGTGACTTTATTTTCATTCACATCACATGTGGTACATGAGGTGGAACAAAACAGAAAATTAAAGCCCCCTGGCAACCCTGAGATATGAAAATAGAGCAACACGTAGTGAGCGAATATAAAAATCTAGAGTATTGGGATTGACGTACAAAAAATAAACTGAGCGTTCTGAGTATGATTTAAAGGATTAAAAATACATTTAGAATGGGTTTTAATGGGTCCATTTTTCCTTTAAGGATTAATAGTGACAGAGTTCATGATATCGTTTTAACACAAAGTTAAAGAAGTTTAAAAAGAGTTTTAGAACTGATCAGGTGTTTGAAAAAACAACAAAATTTTCAATAAAAATATGAACAAAAATACGTAGTTGATTTTTTTCCCTCTTAAGACTTTCTGAAGGTTAAAGTTCAGAGTTAGTTGTTTTAAGAGTCAGTTGGAGGAGCTTGTCTTACGTCGGTGAGGTTTAGCTCCTCCCCGTCGTTGATGCCCTCCACGGTGGTCACGCCCTGAGAGCAGAAGTGGTAGTCGTAGGGGTTGGTGGTGACCAGCAGCATGTCTGCAACACAAATGATAAAATCACGCTAAAAACAAATCTGTGGATGTTTTAGTGACTCGGATCTAAACCGACAGCACCACAGAGGAACTTCGTTTTTTAAATAACACAACTTTTTATCCACAATGCCACGCAACTGTGAGGCGAAGATGATCCACCTTGGTTTTAGCATTGCACAGACTAGCCAGAAGCTCATCAGTCCTGTCAAAACTAGTCTTATTTCATCCCTCATGTTAATTTAATGATCTTTCTTCTGTTTCTTGGCACAGGAAGTGGAAGATTGTTCAGTTTTGAACAGTTTGTGGTCAACAAACCAACAGGAAGCAGCATCTGATCCGTGTTTGTGACTTAATCGTTGGGCTGTTGGATTATAAACGGAGAATTTTGTGATTATATTTTGACCCCAGGCTGGATTATCTTGTGTGGTTGTGTATTCATAATCAGATTATGGTGTCGGTGCAGTTACCTTGTAGTTCTGGTTTGTGATTGGACAAAATCTGGTAATAGATGTGGTAACTTCTCTCTCCCGGCTGCTGGAACACAACTCTGGACTTTTCCAGAAGATCTGATGAAAACAAACACAAGAACCTTCTTTTGTGAGCAGCAACCCTCTGAGGCGACTGCAGAACCTCCTGATGTTCTCAACGTTAACACGTGAGCAAACGCTCAACCAGCTGACAAGTCCTGGACAAAGACATCTTGGACGAAGCTGGGCTTTCTCTCCAGAGCCCAAGTGTTCAGTTTCTACCACCACGGTTCTGATGATACTTTAAAGTAATAGAATAAAACTTGACTTGTCCCTCAGCAGGGACGTTCACATCAATGCCAGGCCAAAGGTACTGATCAAAAGATGAAGGAAATAAAGTAATTTAAAAACTCACAGATGTCGACGTCGGCAGACGCCAGCTTCCCCGTCGGCCCAAAATGAATTCTGATGAATTTTCCCTGAGATCAATCAACACAAACCTCCATCTTTATAGAACTTCTCCTCGGCTCCAGCGTCAAATATTAGCTGAACTTCAGTGAACTCACGAAGCGAGAGGAGTTGTCGTTTCGAATGGTTTTGGCGTTGCCAAACGCCTCCATGGCTGGATTGGCTTCGATGATCTGATCCTCCAAAGATCCCTGAGAACACAGGCAGAACACAACAAACAGACTTCCTGTCAGGGCCGGACGTTTTCTTATTCTGAAAACAACTCGTTAAAGACTAAACAACTTACTGCTTTTTTCACATTGTCCCCCAAAGCAGCAATGATGGCAAAGTACTGGATCACCCGCTTGGTGTTGACGGTTTTACCCGCCCCCGACTCCCCCCTGATCACACCACAAGAAAACATTCAGAGTTAAACAACTCGCGTGCATCGACTCAAATACTACAGTAAAATCAAAAGGCCACATGCTTTAACTTGGTCAAATACATTTTATTCCAGTGTAGCCTGCTGTAATTGTACATTTTATTTTATTCTTCAAAATAAAGTTCGTGCTCCTGCCAACATTTTCAGTTTGTCCGTTTGTGAAATGAATTTGCTTTAAAAGACAAACGCACATTTTGGAGCCACCTTGATTCAACAGCTCCCCTTTAATTCTGTATTTTGTAGTAAAGTCACTGTGATTTATTGAAAGTTGTTCATTTCACATCTCTGCAGTGGGATGGGAGCTGCAGTTGGGTTTGTTACCTACTTGATATCAGACTCGGTTTTCAATAAGAAAGAATAAACTCTGACATTTAAGGATGCTTTAATAAGATTTTCATCTTTTTTGCTGCATAAAACGTTTCAAGGATTCAGACGACAACGAGCTCCTTCAACAAAAACTGTCGGTTAAAGAGAAAAGACGCAACAGTTTGATTTAAAACAACAACTTGTTTTTCCATCAAACTCTTTGTATCTGTTTGGGTCTTAGTTTTGCATTTGACAGAAATGAGTAAAGAAAAAACCGAAATGTTTTTGTTGAAAACTAGAACGCTGTGGGACATTTAAAAACCTGATTTATTGTAAACGTCTGTTTAGCTGCTGCGATTGCCAGAAGTTTGCAACTTGTCTTTAATTTCCAATGAAAAGGGTTTGTTTCCTGATCAAACTCCTTTTCCTTTTTACAATAAGTTAATCTAAATTATTTGGATTTAATGTTAATATAACTGAGACTGACTTACGTGATCAGCATTGACTGGTTCTCACGATCTGTGAAAGAAAGAATAAATGTCATAAAACCAGTCCCCTGGGCGTGCACGTCTCTTGTTTACATACATTTTCAAAATGTTTACGCCTTGATCAAAATATAACACTCCTAAACTTATTTTTGCTTTGATTAATGCACTTTGTTTTGCAAAATGGAATGTTTGCAAACAGAATGTCCTCGTACAGAACTCTGTGGTACGCCAATATTGATTAAATAAAGCTACAGTGAGGAGAGCACAACCAGAGCAGGTATTCTCAAACTGGAAACCTTCCAAGCAGCCAGACAACTGGTTTTATTATACGCCCATCGAAGGGCTTCTGAATAACCTCTAGCTTGCTCAAGATAATTTAACAAAACTTCAGACACATCTGCATCATCATTAGATGGTGTTGCTGCGTGAACTTTTCATCACCTCACCTCTAAGGTCAAGGCCATAAATCAAGGTAAAAGGTTTTTGCTTGTCTGGGCCATTGCTATAGATTACTGTGTTGTTGTTGTTCAGTACTTTGCTGATGGGTGTACAATGTGCCACATGAGGTACTCTTGTTTTTAATGTGGTCCTGGTCAGCAGCTCACCAGACTTTTTGAAAGTCTTTTTCATTTCCTGTTCTTGAACATTTTCAGGGAACAGTTTTTATCTCTGATCTTTAAATGATTCAATTCAATTCAACCTTTATTTATATAGGTTAGTCTCACTGAGCCTGGAGGACTCATTTACAAGAGACATGTTTTAAACAAAGAACACAAAGAACACAGATGACAACTGTAAACAATCATAAAGAAAAAGCATTTTAAATGAAAAATAAATGGAAGAAATTGTATAAAATACAGTTGATCATAATATTCTATTACAGAAACTTGAATATGATATTGGCATTACAGGAATGTCTCTAAATTGGTTTAAATAATATTTTTCTGATATATTCCACTTTGTAAATTTTAATAATGAATCTT